AAAATATCGCTTATTTTCACAGAAATCCCTGTTTTTCCCCTAAAATATCGCTTATTTTCACAGAAATCCCTGTTTTTCCCCTAAAATATCGCTTATTTTCACAGAAATCCCTGTTTTTCCCCTAAAATGTCGCTTGTTTTCACAGAAATCCCTGTTTTTCCCCTAAAATGTTGCTTATTTTCAGAGAAATCCCTGTTTTTCCCCTAAAATATCACTTATTTTCATAGAAATCCCTGTTTTTCCCCTAAAATATCGCTTATTTTCACAGAAATCCCTGTTTTTCCCCTGAAATATCGCTTATTTTCACAGAAATCCCTGTTTTTCCCCTAAAATATCGCTTATTTTCATAGAAATCCCTGTTTTTCCCCTAAAATATCGCTTATTTTCATAGAAATCCCTGTTTTTCCCCTAAAATATCGCTTATTTTCACAGTAATCCCTGTTTTTAACCAAAAATATCGCTTATTTTCATAGAAATCCCTGTTTTTCCCCTAAAATATCGCTTATTTTCACAGAAAACCCTGTTTTTCCCCTAAAATGTGGCTTATTTTCATAGAAATCCCTGTTTTTCCCCTAAAATATCGCTGATTTTCATAGAAATCCCTGTTTTTCCCCTTAAATATCGCTTATTTTCACAGAAATCTCTGTTTTTCCCCCAAAATATCGCTTATTTTCCTAGAAATCCCTGTTTTTCCCCTAAAATATCTCTTATTTTCACAGAAATCCCTGTTCTTCCCCTAAAATATCGCTTATTTTCACAGAAATCCCTGTTTTTCCCCTGAAATATCGCTGATTTTCATAGAAATCCCTGTTTTTCCACTAAAATATCGCTTATTTTCACAGAAATCCCTGTTTTTCCCCTAAAATGTGGCTTATTTTCACAGAAATCCCTGTTTTTCCCCTGAAATATCGCTCATTTTCATAGAAATCCCTGTTTTTCCATTAAATATCGCTTATTTTCACAGAAATCCCTGTTTTTCCCCTAAAATATCGCTTATTTTCACAGAAATCCCTGTTTTTCCCCTTAAATATCGCTTATTTTCACAGAAATCCCTGTTTTTCCCCTAAAATATCGCTTATTTTCTCAGCAATCCCTGTTTTTCCCCTAAAATATCGCTTATTTTCACAGAAATCCCTGTTTTTCCCCTAAAATATCGCTTATTTTCACAGAAATCCCTGTTTTTCCCCTAAAATATCGCTTATTTTCACAGAAATCCCTGTTTTTCCCCTAAAATGTGGCTTATTTTCACAGAAATCCCTGTTTTTCCCCTAAAATGTCGCTTATTTTCACAGAAATCCCTGTTTTTCCCCTAAAATATCGCTTATTTTCACAGAAATCCCTGTTTTTCCCCTAAAATATCGCTTATTTTCACAGAAATCCCTGTTTTTCCCCTAAAATATCGCTTATTTTCACAGAAATCCCTGTTTTTCCCCTAAAATATCGCTTGTTTTCACAGAAATCCCTGTTTTTCCCCTAAAATGTCGCTTATTTTCACAGAAATCCCTGTTTTTCCCCTAAAATATCACGTATTTTCACAGAAATCCCTGTTTTTCCCCTAAAATATCGCTTATTTTCACAGAAATCCCTGTTTTTCCCCTAAAATATCGCTTGTTTTCACAGAAATCCCTGTTTTTCCCCTAAAATGTCGCTTATTTTCACAGAAATCCCTGTTTTTCCCCTAAAATATCGCTTATTTTCATAGAAATCCCCGTTTTTCCCCTAAAATATCGCTTATTTTCACAGAAATCCCTGTTTTTCCCCTAAAATATCGCTTATTTTCACAGAAATCCCTGTTTTTCCCCTAAAATATCGCTTATTTTCACAGAAATCCCTGTTTTTCCCCTAAAATATCGCTTATTTTCACAGAAATCCCTGTTTTTCCCCTAAAATATCGCTTATTTTCACAGAAATCCCTGTTTTTCCCCTAAAATATCGCTTATTTTCACAGAAATCCCTGTTTTTCCCCTAAAATATCGCTTATTTTCACAGAAATCCCTGTTTTTCCCCTAAAATATCGCTTATTTTCACAGAAATCCCTGTTTTTCCCCTAAAATATCGCTTATTTTCACAGAAATCCCTGTTTTTCCCCTAAAATATCGCTTATTTTCACAGAAATCCCTGTTTTTCCCCTAAAATATCGCTTATTTTCACAGAAATCCCTGTTTTTCCCCTAAAATATCGCTTATTTTCACAGAAATCCCTGTTTTTCCCCTAAAATATCGCTTATTTTCATAGAAATCCCTGTTTTTCCCCTAAAATATCGCTTATTTTCACAGAAATCCCTGTTTTTCCCCTAAAATATCGCTTATTTTCACAGAAATCCCTGTTTTTCCCCTAAAATATCGCTTATTTTCACAGAAATCCCTGTTTTTCCCCTAAAATATCGCTTATTTTCACAGAAATCCCTGTTTTTCCCCTAAAATATCGCTTATTTTCACAGAAATCCCTGTTTTTCCCCTAAAATATCGCTTATTTTCACAGAAATCCCTGTTTTTCCCCTAAAATATCGCTTATTTTCACAGAAATCCCTGTTTTTCCCCTAAAATATCACTTATTTTCATAGAAATCCCTGTTTTTCCCCTAAAATATCGCTTATTTTCACAGAAATCCCTGTTTTTCCCCTGAAATATCGCTTATTTTCACAGAAATCCCTGTTTTTCCCCTAAAATATCTCTTATTTTCACAGAAATCCCTGTTTTTCCCCTAAAATATCGCTTATTTTCACAGAAATCCCTGTTTTTCCCCTAAAATATCGCTTATTTTCACAGAAATCCCTGTTTTTCCCCTAAAATATCGCTTATTTTCACAGAAATCCCTGTTTTTCCCCTAAAATGTCGCTTGTTTTCACAGAAATCCCTGTTTTTCCCCTAAAATATCGCTTATTTTCAGAGAAATCCCTGTTTTTCCCCTAAAATATCGCTTATTTTCATAGAAATCCCTGTTTTTCCCCTAAAATATCGCTTATTTTCACAGAAATCCCTGTTTTTCCCCTAAAATATCGCTTATTTTCACAGAAATCCCTGTTTTTCCCCTAAAATATCACTTATTTTCACAGAAATCCCTGTTTTTCCCCTAAAATATCGCTTATTTTCATAGAAATCCCTGTTTTTCCCCTAAAATATCGCTTATTTTCACAGAAATCCCTGTTTTTCCCCTAAAATATCGCTTATTTTCACAGAAATCCCTGTTTTTCCCCTAAAATATCGCTTATTTTCATAGAAATCCCTGTTTTTCCCCTAAAATATCGCTTATTTTCATAGAAATCCCTGTTTTTAACCTAAAATATCGCTTATTTTCACAGTAATCCCTGTTTTTAACCAAAAATATCGCTTATTTTCATAGAAATCCCTGTTTTTCCCCTAAAATATCGCTTATTTTCACAGAAAACCCTGTTTTTCCCCTAAAATGTGGCTTATTTTCATAGAAATCCCTGTTTTTCCCCTAAAATATCGCTGATTTTCATAGAAATCCCTGTTTTTCCCCTTAAATATCGCTTATTTTCACAGAAATCTCTGTTTTTCCCCCAAAATATCGCTTATTTTCCTAGAAATCCCTGTTTTTCCCCTAAAATATCTCTTATTTTCACAGAAATCCCTGTTCTTCCCCTAAAATATCGCTTATTTTCACAGAAATCCCTGTTTTTCCCCTGAAATATCGCTGATTTTCATAGAAATCCCTGTTTTTCCACTAAAATATCGCTTATTTTCACAGAAATCCCTGTTTTTCCCCTAAAATGTGGCTTATTTTCACAGAAATCCCTGTTTTTCCCCTGAAATATCGCTCATTTTCATAGAAATCCCTGTTTTTCCCCTTAAATATCGCTTATTTTCACAGAAATCCCTGTTTTTCCCCTGAAATATCGCTTATTTTCACAGAAATCCCTGTTTTTCCCCTAAAATATCTCTTATTTTCACAGAAATCCCTGTTTTTCCCCTAAAATATCGCTTATTTTCACAGAAATCCCTGTTTTTCCCCTAAAATATCGCTTATTTTCACAGAAATCCCTGTTTTTCCCCTAAAATATCGCTTATTTTCACAGAAATCCCTGTTTTTCCCCTAAAATATCGCTTATTTTCACAGAAATCCCTGTTTTTCCCCTAAAATATCGCTTATTTTCACAGAAATCCCTGTTTTTCCCCTAAAATGTCGCTTATTTTCACAGAAATCCCTGTTTTTCCCCTAAAATATCGCTTATTTTCATAGAAATCCCTGTTTTTCCCCTAAAATATCGCTTATTTTCACAGAAATCCCTGTTTTTCCCCTAAAATATCGCTTATTTTCACAGAAATCCCTGTTTTTCCCCTAAAATATCGCTTATTTTCACAGAAATCCCTGTTTTTCCCCTAAAATGTCGCTTATTTTCAGAGAAATCCCTGTTTTTCCCCTAAAATATCGCTTATTTTCACAGAAATCCCTGTTTTTCCCCTAAAATATCGCTTATTTTCATAGAAATCCCTGTTTTTCCCCTAAAATATCGCTTATTTTCACAGAAATCCCTGTTTTTCCCCTGAAATATCGCTTATTTTCACAGAAATCCCTGTTTTTCCCCTAAAATATCTCTTATTTTCACAGAAATCCCTGTTTTTCCCCTAAAATATCGCTTATTTTCACAGAAATCCCTGTTTTTCCCCTAAAATATCGCTCATTTTGATAGAAATCCCTGTTTTTCCCCTAAAATACCGCTTATTTTCACAGAAATCCCTGTTTTTCCCCATCAATATCGCTTATTTTCACAGAAATCCCTGTTTTTCCCGTTCAATATCGCTTATTTTCTCAGAAATCCCTGTTTTTCCCCTAAAATATCGCTTATTTTCACAGAAATCCCTGTTTTTCCCCTAAAATATCGCTCATTTTCACAGAAATCCCTGTTTTTCCCCTAAAATATCGCTTATTTTCATAGAAATCCCTGTTTTTCCCCTAAAATATCGCTTATTTTCACAGAAATCCCTGTTTTTCCCCTAAAATATCGCTTATTTTCACAGAAATCCCTGTTTTTCCCC